TATTTGCACACTCTCTCAGCTGGTAATAGTACACAAGCCTGAGAGCAAGCAGTTAACTCAAGCTGAGCAAATCATTGTCACTTATGTCCACACACACACCTATACATGATGTTTACAGCCACTTTATTCACAGTAGCCAAAACTTGAAAGCAACCAAGATGTCCTTCAGCGGGTGAATGGACAAACTGTGGTACATCCAGACAGGGGGATATTACTCAGCACCAAAAAGAAATGAGCTAGCAAGCTATGAAAAGACACGGAGGAATCTTAAAGGTATATTACTAAGTGAGAGAAGCCAATTTGAAAAGGTTGTATATTTATATAATTCCAATTATATGACATTATGGAAAAAAGCAAAACTATGGAGACAGTAAAAAGCTCAGTGGTCACCAGGAGTTGGAGTGGGAGAGGAACGAACAGGTGAAGCACAGAGGATTTTTAGGGCAGTGAAAATATTCTGTATGACACCATAATGGTGGATGCATGTAACTACACATTAGTCCTGATCTGTAGAATGTATAACACCAAGAATGATCTTTAATGTAAGCTATGCACTCAAAGAGAGAATAATGTATGAATGTAGGTTGATCAGTTGTAACAAACGTCCTGCTGTAGTGGGGGATGTCGATAGTGGGAGAGGCTGTACCTCGGTGGGTGTACGAGGTCCATGGGACATCTCTGTACCTTCCTCTCAAGTTTGCTATGAACTTAAAACTGCTCTTAGAAAAAAATAGTCTTTAATAAAAAAAATTTTAACCAAGTGTCATGTATTTTTATTTGCTAAATCTGGCGATGCTCCTCCTCAGAAAACATTTCACAATATCTGAAGTCATTTTTAATGGTCAAAACAAGGTGCTGCTGGCGTCTAGAGGGTGTAGGCCAGACATGCTGCTGTATGTGCTACAGTGAGCGGGTCAGCCCCATACAGATATCATGTGGCCCAAAATGTCAATAGTGTCTGGTTGAAAACCCCAAACCTGAAAGGTACCACGAAGTCTCTTTGTTTCACTCCCTTAAGGCTTTCTGAGAGGTCAGAATGCTACCCAGCCCCAGCAAAGGCACACGTTTTAACTGTGAAGAAGTTAATGCCCCTGAGGACAACCATCTGTCAGCGGGAAAGGAATTGGAGAGTAAGTGCCACGACCTCCCCATCCTTTAGGGGACCCTTCTGAAAGATGTCTCACACAGTTTATCTGGATGCTTCAGCCCCAGGAGCCCACAACAGGAAATAGCACAACCTTTCACGTTTATTTTTCTCTTTCTCATCTCATTCTTCCCACTCTCTCATTTCTACTTCCCAAAGTCACTTCCCAAAATAAATTGTCTCCATCCAAAATATTTCTCAGGCTCCGGTTTGGCGGTGGTGGGTGCGAGGTGGGGGGTCTCCTAATATAAGAAAGCATCCTCCTAAGAACATCATTCTACATCCCAAACACGCTTACGCGGAAGTGCTGTGCGGTGAGTTTTTTGTTGTTCAGGACTACAGGGTAGTGAGCTCTGTGTAGGTCCTTCAGAGCTTCGGAAAGTTTACTCTTATCTCTGAAATTAGCAATCACATTTCCCACAGCCTTCAGAATCATTAGAGACTGCTCGGTAAATCGGTAGCTCTCCTGTGAAGACAAAGGACAGCAGCCAGCCTCACTTTCACTTACTGAAGTGTAATTAAGTTTATAAAAATTTAATTTCTGCTAACATATTAAAACTCTGCTATATGGTTGATCCGATCGGTATTTATGGAGAACTTACTTGATCAATGCGTTTTGCTAGGAGTCGTGGTCTCAGAGATATAAAACAA